CAACAGGAAGCTCTGTAGAAAAAAAAAGAAATTGTTTCAATGCATAAATGAAGTGTAATAAAATATCATAATCATAAAAATCAACAGGAGCCATGGTAGGCCCGGTCCTGTTATACCTGAACTTGTTCGGGAATCAGCAAAGTGGCTTGTGCGTCAAACTCTTAGCAAATATGACTGGATACAGAAGGGCTTTGAAATTCAGGATATGCTTATTCAATTTAATCTGGATTATGATACAGACTATATGATACATACTATAAATGTGGATAGGTTGGGACTGAAATGCAAATAAATTAATTTTACAAGTCTCTGGTGGTGCTGCTCAGGTTTCCAACTATGCGTTACAGATACGTAAGCAAAAGCTACCTTCCTAAACTTTTCCCTATGCACGTGTCCCATTAATACAGCATGTGGGAGTTTTTAAATTACCTTGTATTTGTTACCAAGTCAAAACATATTCAAGTTCAAAGCAGCCAACAGTTCACATGTTAAGGCAAATTCAGCTTAGAACCAAGAACAGACTATATTTTCTTGCTGCCTTTATTCTGTTCCAAATTATTAGCATAGCTGTTCTCTCTGACAAAATTCTTGCCATCCCCATGCACAGAAACATCAGATTCCAGATTCTAAGTGAAAAAGAAACTGATGGTACCATGGGATGACACTTAAAAAGAAAAAACCCATAAATTTAAAGCATTTTTACTGATTTAATGTGGTCCCATTTGTTTCAGGAGAGGTACCTGGAACAAATTCCATGCTGGTTGTATACCACCATGATTTTATTGCTGGCGTCTTCATCTTGTTTCATTTAAAGTCACTGTCAATACCACACTGATGGAAGTGGGCTTGGGCAGTGAAAATCACTAGAAGAGCTTCCAAAATGAGATCAGAAGACAACACTTACTACACTTTTTCAATAGTACTTTATAAACTCATATTTCTGGCTGATGGCTTGACAAAGAACCCTGTGTGTACTTGAACACACCCCTTGCAATGAAAGGTGACCAAGGAAGGTGTGATGAGGCCCCTGACTGAGGAAGTCAGTGAACCTTTGTTTTAGCTTTTTGTTCATACCTGATGTAATGGAAAGCTTTTACAGAGCAATGTTTGTGGGACAGAACAGACAGTAGGGAATTAGTGTATTAAACAAAAGAGGAAAAGCTGTGTTTGCTGAAAGTTGTGCTTTATGGTAATACTACCATTATTATTACCATGTGGACCATTACTCTATCAGAAATAAATATCTACCCAATGGGTGAATTGCATAAGGTTATTTCCTCATCAGCGGTGACATGAGTTCATCACACTCCCTTTGCAAAAGTTACTTTTGGTCAGTCTTATTTCTGAATACTGCCGAACTGCCATGAAAGGTTTAAAAAGCCAGTAAAAAAGAGATATAATTTTGATGTCACTAAAACTTCCCATATATCATTTTTGAACCACTGGTAAGAACTGTTTTTTAAAGATTCTTCTGCAGGACAGCAGACTAAAGAAGTAAAGAAAATCACCTTCTCATTCATGTTCAGTAATAATCAAACTTTTAAGATACTCAGGTTGTATATGAGAACATTTTTTTTCTTCAGTATTTTATAGAAATGCAAAATACTGCTAGGCCTTTTAAAATATCAAAGCAGATATTTTCTAGCTGAAACTTCCTTGTAATCTGTGATGACATGAGTATTCAGTTCATCCCTAGTGACACGGAGAACAGTCAGTCTTTGTCTTCCTTTTCCACAAACGTGCATAATTAGAATATTAGAATTTTATCTCAATGCTTTCTCTTTTTCATCAACCACCCAGTACCTTACTCCTTACTCACAGGTCAGATTTTCTTGTTCTTGATATAATAATTTCCTTTAAACTCTCACTCTGTTTTGTCCTGTATCTGTCTTGAAACATGATGACTACAGCTTAATACTATTCTGCAGCTGGGGCTTTCCCAGTAGAAAGTGAAGCAATGCATAACTGTGTCATCTGTGCAAAACTCTAAAACTCTTAATGATGGTCTCAGGATGGTACTTACTTTTTTTTTCCCCTTTTTTTTTTTTTTTTTTTTACATTAGTATATTACCAGTTCAAGAATCTTCATTCTGAAGCACAAAATACCAGTTTCACCCTCTGAAAATGTGTGCTGTGCCCATTTGTGCTTTCAGTATCAACCTCTAGAAATTACTGTGTGCTATAGTTTTGTCCTTACCCACCTCCTTCCTGTAAATTACAATAGCAGGCTAATTTATTACAGCTGTCAGGAGATGTTTCAATATTTTAAGGTTGTATGTAATTTGGGAGGCCTGCAATCAGCTTGGATAAACACAAATTAAGCCATTAACCTCAGCACACCAGAATATTATCCCTGACATCATTGCACACTCAAAATTCATGGCCTACAAGAATCAGTGCAATCATATCATACCCCAGTGGCTGTGTGGTACCAAAACGTGCCATTCTTTCTGTCTGATAGTGTATGAATCTGAATCTGTAGCATCTCCATACAAATGTAATACTGTGCTCTCACTGCACTTCAGATTGTTTTGCACCTTCTGCCTACACTTACCAAAAACACCTCCTGTCAAAGTGCTAAATAGCCTTGTTCTGTGGAAATACTCAGCATAGGCTTGTGAGGACTGTATGTCTGGGAGTAAATGACTGCCTGTTTGATAGCTGTAGACAAAGATGCCAACTTCACTGGGGGAGATAATAGAAATTCTCTCTCCTTAAGCAAAATGTGCTCTTTGGTGGTGTGGCATTTGAAGAAAGTTGGAGATTTTTTTTTTTTTTTTTTGGCTGGTTTTCTTCTATTCACAGCAACAAACTCACTCAACAGCAGGACCACCTCCTGTGAGGCTGCTGCCTAAACCATTTGCCCCCCAGTCTATGGGTGTGTGCATATGGGGGTGTATGGGTGTGAGTGTGGGTGGGTGTGGGTGTGTGTGATGCCAAGTGACAGGTCCCAGAACTCCAGAATATCAGGATTTTTTTCTTTGTCATCTCTGGCTCTAGCTGACACCAAGGCAGCTGGATGCTAGTTTCCAGCATAAACACAGTCCCATTAGTTTCTTAGCTTTCACTCTGGGACCCTGTCTAACAGCAGTCAGTAACTTGTGTGCTTTCATGAGAACCGTGTGCTTTACCTGTCACAACATGGTCCCCTGACCCTTCCACCATGAAGAATTCCTTTGGTGTAGCAGTGTCACTGCTTCTTCTCTGACTGGGTTACTGGCATGAGCAATCTCCTGAGTGGCTGTCCAGTCTACTGCAGGTTTTGCATCTTTATCAAAATGCTGAACATTGTCTTAGGTTGTGCCATTTGCTGCAGCATGGAGAAGCAGTGTGGGTTTTTTTCCTATAACCTCTTCATTAGTGTTACCTGCCTTTGTTCTGCCTTTGTTCTTTAACCTTCTTCTAGCATTTTGGTTCACCTATGTAATTATAGCCATAGTAAATCTATAGGAACTTCTGTGAGCTGGATGTCACTGCTTTGCACAGTCCAGTGGTATTATCACAATTTATTTCATGGTTCCAGTGTCACAGGCTCTTATCTTCGTTTCCAGATTGTTCTGGTCTCCTCTTGGGGCCTCAATGAACTTCTCAAAATTCAAAGATTATAACATACTTCACTCTGTCTTTCTAAAAATGTGAATTTAATAATTTTCCTGCTTTCATGTAATGCAGTCCATGTATTTCTGTAAGACAGTTTCATAAATTTCATAAGTTAATCTCACTAACTAGAAGATAGATCTCTGTTCAGAAGTCAACACATTGTCAGGTGTGCTCTCAGGAGACCAAACTCAAATGCCAAGCTTCCCCCTTTCCTATTCCTCTAGGCATGCTTTGAAATTACTGAGATCTTTATGTGTTGCAGATTTAGAACATTTCAGATTCCTGTTAATGAAATATTTTTTAATGTCCCCAATTCTCTAATTTTATCCTTACAACTAAGATTTGCTGCACAGCTCTACTTGGCTATGGCCAGTAAGACATCAGTTACCTAAAAGACTGAGCACCATGGAACTCAGACCCTAGGGTGAGGATTGCTGGGCTAATGGTGTGTTGGCTTCCCTGTAAAAGACTGGGTCACAGAAATGAGAAATCTGTGCACAAGCACTTCACTGGAACATTTCTGGTCTTTCCTATTGTTTTGTAACAGCTGCAGACACCTTCTGAGAGGAGATATCCTTGGAGTGAAGCATTGCATTATTTTGCAGACTGTTGAACGGCTCAAACACTACTTCCAGGGATAATCAGCTAGTGTCTTATTTGCACTTGTTGGAATTATAAGTTAGTAGTTAGTTCTGCATCCTTCATGACCTACCCTTCCTGTAGATGCTTTGCCATTCTTGCTTCCAACAAACTACATAATTTTTATTTCACATACTGCATACTGATAAACAGGTAATGTAATGTAAAATGAACCCAAAATTCAGATTTTAGGTCAAATACATTAAAATAAGTTATTAAATATTCTCTACCTATAGACAGTTACTGAATGAGAGATGTTCAGTCTCACTCAGAGGTAATATGGCCAATTTATTTGCATTGCTCAAAGTCAGAAATGCAGGAGTTCAAATTAAAAAAAGTAAACATCTGAGAAAGTCATTGCTGGTTTAACTCATTTATTTAGTAACATAGATATGAATATATAATACTATATTTTAATGAATCAGCAAAATATTTGATGTTACTATATTCTAATTAATAAGCACTGCATTTTATGTAATTATTGATGTAGGTCTCTTCTGTAAGGCCAGAAAGAATAGTCTTTGTTGTGTCACATGAAGACACAGATTCACACAGACACAGTGCCAAAGAATTAGTTTGTTGTTTTTGTAAGGTTTTTTTTGTTCAGTATCTTAATATTTTCTGTTAAAGGGGTTTCCCACTTGCAGCTCAGAAAACTAGTGCAGAGAAATATTCAAGCAGCTTATACAAGTTCTCCACCTTCTTCTTCCCTGCCATATCAAGAAATTCTGTTTAGTAAGATGGATACAAATGGACATGGCTTGTTGATCATGAAGCTCTATTTCTAATCAGGAAGCACAAAAACTTAGAACGTAAATCATGGCTCTCTAGAGTAACAGAGTAGAGTAACTCTGCATCAGTCCAGATTGCAGGTGAGGATTCTTTTTTCCCATTTTCATGTGAGCTGCTGAAAATGTATTTCGAGCCCTGTACACTTACTTCTGAGATTTTGATACACCCTGCTGAAGCTTTCCAAGAGATGAACAGAACAGTCACAATCTTACTTTTTCAGCAGAAGATTGTAGTTTCTTTGGCTTGCATGTCCAGATCTCAGATAAGATGAGCTGGCTTGGATCTACCAATGCACAGTCCAGTTTACATTGCACCACCTGAGGATCTATACATGAATACTGTATTCATGGCTTTTACTGCCAAAATTCCTACTGAAGTGTTGATGCAGCTGGCATGGCTCATATGCTTGTACTGGTGCTTTGATCTGTTCATACAGAGGGACATGCTTTGAGAAAATGTCCATGCTTTAAGAAATGTATCTTTAGAGAGACTGATTAAGCTGCCTTGAGAACTAGTATTGCTGGAATCATGATCAGCACTGATCTGAAAAGCTTCTCTGGCCTGCAGCAGAACAGAGGAAATCACAGCTAAGCCTCAGGGTCCTGAAGCAGCAGAGCTTGCTTTCACTCATTTCTCTTCCAAGGTCCCAAATAATTTTTGAGCCCATTATTTATTGCAGCCAAATTTAACTGATGGCAGGGATGTCACAGATAGTTCTGTCTTCAAAGGATTTAAGAAAACCCAAGAAGATTCAGGTAGAAAAGGGAGACCAGTTCCCAGTTTCCCAGGTGAAAGAATAACTGCCATAGGCTCACCTCGTATTAGAAATGAGAGAATCCATCAGAGACAGAAACTCTGTAATATGTGATGTGCAGCAAAAAGATGGCAGAAGTCTACTCCTTTCTGCCCACCAAAGTCAATCAGCCATGAGGGATGAAATCATAGGAAATCAGGCATAATTAGGTCTAGAGCTCAAAGGTCAATGAACACAGCAGAATAAAGCGTTATATAAATAAAGGATGAATCCAGTCTCATGCCAGGAAATATTGGCAGAACCTAAGCAAATACCTAAATGCGTAAGCATCTATCTTTAGCTATGTCAAATAAAAGCTCTGTCAATAGTTACAGGCACGTTACATTGCTTTGAAAAGCAATGTTTTTCAAAACAAAAGCACTGCTTTTATTTTACCTCTTTCACTACCTCACTTTCAACAATTCCCAACCCAACTTGCCCTTACTGCAGGAAAAGAGACAGATAAGCATATATAGTTCCACCTCTGTGTTGAAAGGACTAATGATACCAATGCAAAGAAAAGCCAGCCCTGTTTTGGGGCGTATGTGCCCTTTTCTTCTGCTGTGTTTCACAAAGCAAGAATCCACTCCTCTCCTACAAGTGACAAAGCTTGGCTATATTAAAACTAAGAATTACATTCCTATGACTGTTTTTTTCAAAGACCTCCAAGACCTTTTAGCCAATTCTTTGCTTCATAGAAATATATGAACCGTATCATTCCTCCTATGGAAAATGTCTCTATTTAGCCACTACATAGCTCCAGAAAATTTTGCAAGGATAAAGACAAGGATAAAAAATACAATATGTATCTGACAAGGGATCCCTAATGAGGGTTTCCCAGAACATACATGAAGGGGGTGCAGGCCTCCCTCCACCTGGAATGCAGCTTTTAATGACTTTTCCTTGAGCCCCCCTCTGTCTCAAAGCACTGCAGTGGCAGTCAAACAACACTACTGTCCTCAAAGGTCAGAAGCACAAACAGTTTGCTCCTTCTCATCACACAAAATTATTTCCTACGGTAATTTTTGGAGGAGGAAAACGGCAAATGAAGATACCCAGATGCACATGAAAAATTACAACTAATTTGTCCCATTGTTTTATTCAATGGAGGCAGAGAACACAGAAATTTGGGGAGCACCAAAAGAACCATAACATTGAAGCTGTGAACAAAGGTAGCTCAGACATGAAAAGCACCAGACAGAAGCCAAGCCCTAGGATGAAAGTCTTCTGCTTATAGCTAGTTCTTTAAACAGCAAATTACACATGTATAATGCTGGTCCCAGTACTAGGTAAAGACGGGGGAAACATTACTAGAAATGCAGAAAGTTAATTGCAAAAAGGAGACTTGTTTACAGACTTGTTTATGCTGAGGGAGAAGAGAGCCTACAGCCAAATCGAAGGAAGCAAAAAATTGCACACTCAAATATGGGGGAAGAATAAGCACAGAGGATTTATTTTAAAGATTCTGAAATCTATGGGAAGAATTGCATTACATTAAGATATGCAGATCCACTTTCGTGAAATTAATTTTCTACAGAAACATCAATGTGGAGAGATTTTCATTTATTTTAAAAACATTAAAAAAAAAAAAAGCTGTGTGTAACCTTTTTTTTAGATAAATCATACCATCACTAAACCAGCTTTGAAGACTGGTTGCTTCTGCTGAGCACAGTGGGAGTTCTGCCATGGCCTGCAAGCCAATGGCCTGTTCCTCAGTGCAGGCTGGAGAAAAGAATGTACATGTGCTGGAGGAGTGTTTGTGAAACATGGTGCTGATTTTAGTGATGGCTTTTTCCATGCACCAAGCATGAGATCATGTACAGGGCTGTATTTACATGGTGATGTAATTTTGCAGCAGAAGCTGGAAAAACAAAGAGGGTATATTCCACAACTATGCAGCCATGTCATATATATATTGGCAAGATGAAATTAAGATGTGGGACAACCCTGCTCCAAACTTCTAGACAAGCTTATGTTTTGGCTTCAAAATCAACTCATAACTCTAAAGGGAACTTTCATCAGGCAAACAATTTTGGAGTCAAACAGCATATGTACTTAATTGAATGCTTACAAAATCACCTTTTGTTTTATACAGATGTTCTGCCAACAAAAGGAAAAAACAGAGATGCCTAATGGAGATGCCTAACAACATGGCCCTATTTATGTTGTGATCACATAAGATCAGATGCTCAAATACAATTCTTTTCCAAGTAATGTTGTATGATAATGTGGTTTACAAACTGCTATATCCACTCATCTTCTGTGGTAAAATCTCACTTTTTTTTTTTCCTTAAAAAGAATGCCATGGTGTGTCACTGAGACATAAAAACTTGAAAAATAAATTGTTTGACCTTGTTTACACACAGAATGCTATTAGTTATAAATAAATAAAACAGGATTGTTTGATCAACCAGTGAAATTATACATATACTTTTTGGAAAATCTGATCAAGTTTAGTCTATAGTTGGTTTCTAACTATGCAGGCACAGATCTCTGTATGAATAATATTTAATATAAGATCATAATTGTTCTTCCAGTTCATCCACATCCATTTGGGAGCTGATCAAAATAAAACTGGTGCATCTCTGAGCCTCTGCTTCTTTAATAAGGATTGTTTTAGGTTAGGAAACTGGGTGAGTCACTGACTAGAAGCAAGAGCAAATCCAACTATAAACCATGTGTGCCTTTTATCTACAAATAAAGTGAATGACAAAATAGCTTTAACAGTATTTTCAATGACAGTAAACTTGGATGTCACAATCAAAATAGTGTCTGAGGATGCTTTAGAGGGACAACATACAGCTGTGACCAACAGAAGGGTGTCCCAGGACACCTCTTATTTCCTTCTTGCATGTCAACTATTAATTCATTGAACTCTTAGCTGAAGGCACAAAAATGCAGAACATTTTGGGAATGAGCACAGGATGAGGCGGTGCCTCAGAGCAGCTCTTCAGAGTGCTGCAGGATCTGTGTGCATCTTGCAGAGAGAAGCCTTATGGATCTCCCCCGTGTGTCAGCAGTCCCCCTACAGACAGCACTGCACAGAACAGGGTTTGTTAGCTGGCATTTTCTCAGAGAAAAAAGTAGGAATTAAACTTGACTTTGAGATGCTGCTAAACATTAGTATAAACAATTGGGGAAATTAATATTTGCTGTTCATAGATTTTATTATAAACATATAGATTAAATATTAGCATAGCAAAAAACGGACTAGTTAGGCCTTTAGAAGGGTAAGTGTCCTAAAACAGTCCCAGAAATCCTTTTTATACAGCATCCACTGAGTTGGCAAACTCTGTAGAACCACTGCTCTGGTAATTGAAGTCTACAAAACACTGGGATATTCCCCGTCCTCTCTTTTAAACAGAATAGCATTCTGCATCAGGAAACAGTTAGTTTGCACTTTTGTTTATTGCCACAATGAATAAAATGTTCAGCCACAATGAATAAAAAAGATCCATGTATTCAAATAAAGATACTCCAAAAATATCAGTTCAGCCCACTTCATTTTTTCATTTTTCCCAGCAGGCCAGGCTCCTCCCAACTGTTTTAACTGGTTGAAAATTATCAGTGTCAGTCAAGATCCTCTGGGCCTCCTGGGAGCTTTCCAAAGAGTAAGAGCTAGAACCAATGTTTCTTCTCAACTAATATGCAAAACCTTTTTTCAGTTCTTTTGTAATGACTGGCTGAAAAGCATAATATGTACAAGTCTGTAAAAATCCTTCTGTTTTCAAAATAATTAATTTCAACAACAAACTGGATGGTTGAAGTTTTGAAAGTTTCAATTATCAAGTGATGAAAAAAAATTCTAAGCGATTCTATTTTTTCCTGACACTCAAAGAAAAAAAAATTGAAGTAAAGATGCTCTGAGCTGTATGCTTGACAAGGATGTGCTTTCCTGTAACAGCATTTTCTCTGCTCCCCATGTTCTTTTGCCTTCCAGCAGCGAGTAATGTCACTGCCACTCTAGTTCCTCTCAGATGGTGGAATTAGATCCAAGTTATGAAGACAGGTAGATATATTCACCATCTATACCAACACACATATTTGTACAGTCCAGACAGCCAACAATACATATGTAAGCAGTGGAGTTAATGAAATAAGTATGTATTTTTTAATCAGGTAGTTGAAGTAGTGCTAAGAGGTTTGTACTTTTAGATTTATACATTATTAATTATATACTTGGTATTTTCCCCCCTTAAAAATAACTGTAAATAAACACCTGAAAATATGGGAACTAACAGAATATATAATCTTAGGGGTTTGTTGGAAAAATACAATTTGCAATAAAAAAATGTTTATTTCTTCTTACTAGAAACAAGTAATAAAAATATACTCCCACACATAATTTTTTAGCATCCTAGACATGTAGCAAATACTTCTGCAGTAGCAGCCCATCCTTTAAAAAGTCTGAATCCCTTACAGTGCTGCATTTTAATTGATATCAAAAAGTACATAAGTCAGTAAATCTTTGCTTACTCCTTTGTACATGTTAGCCTTTGTTTTGGCAATGTAAGCAAATGCTAGACCTTGTTGACTAGATAGGAAGTGGTTTACATATAAGTATTCTATGTAAGAAAGCAATCTAAAAATACTGGATCTGATCCTAGCAGGTTCCTTGCCTCCTTGTACTATTCCATTGATTCCAGCCAGAATTTAACCAAACAGAACAAGTTTGGAGAGCCCCTCTTGTAAAGATCACTAAGTCAGAGGAACTTTTATCTTTCCATCCCTCTGTTTTGAGAAAAGGATGGGGGCAAGCTCAAGCTACAGCCTTCTGAACAACCCTTCATCCAAAGTGGAGATTATAAAAGCCTACGGGTACTGCCTTATTGTGTACTTCCCTTTATACCTTCTCCTGCTGCCACAGCTTCCCCATTTGCTCAGGCACACGTTATTCTGATCAAATGGTGCCAACAATCCCAGATGCTCACAGGTGTTCAGAATCAAGCCACTGACATGACCCATTCCCTGGACTTTGGAGTCTGCCAAAGACAACAATGCAGATGAGCATGTTGTCAGTGGCTAGTGAAACAGAGTTGATTCAAGCTGCTTCTCCCCAAAACTGAATTTCTGTGCTTTTATGAAATCCAAAAGGGGCAAACATATTTTTTTCAAGACAGATTTTGTGAAATCAAACAAGCACTTTTTCTAGTTCCCAAGTCTTCTTTTTAGTAGTATTTAGCCAGTATTTCTCTTGGTGAAACTGAATTTTCCGTTTCCACAGAGGCATGATGCAGTGGAGAACTTCTGAAGAACTTGCATAGATAATATCTTTATTTTTAATTTATACTATTTTAGATAGCATATGAATTTCTGTAGAAAAATCAGTTCTGAATTTCATCTCCAGTCTTCAAGATGCGCCAATGCTGTACCATTTAACAACAACTTTTTCAGGATTTGCAATGGTATCTTTCCACTGCTCTACTGCTTCACTGTTGCTGCTATCAGAACTTAACCAGATCTGCATTAAAGGAAAAAAACAAAAAACCAAAAGTTTATCTGATATAACAAAACCTAGCATTTACTAGTTCCAAATAAATACCATGGAAGTGTAGAACAACATACAGTGTATAGACTGTGACCAAAGGATAACAGCAACAAATACAGTTCTGCTCATACGAACATTTTGGCTTTCAGCTGGAGTCTGTGTTTAAATTTAGACTCTAAAATAGTTTAGAGAACCCAGTACATAATAAAGTTTCAGTACTTAAAAAGATGTTTTAAGCGAAGCATTCCTTGCTGTACTCAAATGCACATGCTGGGGTCAGGGGCTCCCCAGGCCAGTGGCGGCTCCGTGTGTTCGGACACAGTTGGCTCCAGGCCATGCAGCATCCGGCACGAGCTGTCCAGCACTTTCATGAGCATTTAAAGTTGCACACTCCCACAGCCAGGGCCAAACCTGCATTCCACAGAGGTTACTAACATGCCCATACCACACATAGTCACGTAGTAAGAGTCCATTTCTTCTCAGTATTCAGTTAGTGGATAGTGGCCATTAAATGAGGAAATGAAGTAGAAGTAGGAAATTTTCCCCCTTAACATTATCACCAGCCTCCACTGCCAAAAGAATTCTGCTTATGTAAGTAGGTAGCGTTATTTACAGGACTCTATTTCCTCAAGTCTTCCAAGAATGAGTCCTTTTAAGACTTCTCAGAAACCTTGACCATGAAGTACATTTAGCCTATACTGCTGGGGCATGAGTCCTCAAGAAGTGAGAATAATGTCTTCCAGAATACCATAGACAGCTGATGTTTCATCCACAGAGATTCAATGTACATCATGCTCACGATTAAAGACATGCCTGTAAAAGCAGCCTAATCTAAGTATTGTCTGCTTAGAACAGCATCCAATTAAACACCATTCTCTGAAGAACAAAGTTAATAGATCCAGCTATATTAATTTTTTTCCAGCTACCCAGCCAATTGCTCAAAGTACATTTTCCCCTGAGCCATATTTTATGTCTTCATGTGTTATGTGGCAATGTCTGCCTTCATGAGCTAAAACATTTTTTTCCAAAAAACCTCTGAGGAACACAAGTTTTCCTCCCCCTATAAATAAGATCCACAATTAAATGTAACTCGTCAGATTACCTCACATATTGCTAGATGACTGCAAAATTGTACTCAGTTATTTCTGCCCTCCCCCACCCAAGGCAGTACAGCTAAGAACAAGAAATTTTTTTCTTTTCCTAGTTCAAATCTAATTCCACCAACAGGAAGATGGGACATGTGTAACATGAGGCTACAAAAAATGGAAGAACTTCACATAACTCTTGCTAGCACATAATGTGCTGTATCTTATAGCACATGAGCATCTCCTGTAGCTGCATGTATTCAGCAGACACAAAAAACATGACCAGATTAGGACAGTATCATTTTTTGTACCTAAGGACAGCATAGTCCTCCATCTGACATGGGACATTACAGTTGGGGTCTCAAAATCAAGTCTACATTATTAATTTATTAAAATTCTGTTACTGCATCTAACTGGGTCAGGAAAAGCACAGAGCATTAAGAACAGCTATGGCTCACTATATCAAGAAGAAAAGAGATAGAAAGGACAGGATAATGGTAAATTAGAAGAATCAGGGGAAGAGGATGGAGAGAATAATGAGACCAGACTACTAAGTTTTATGGGGCTAAATAAATATGATCACACAAATGCTTTCAAAGCAATACTACTGAAATTGTGTCTGTTCACTAAAAAACAAGCTGAAAATATTTTGTGTTTGCACATTTGTACTATCACTTGATCATACATAGACTGTTGTACTGAATTCAGCATTGTTTTACCCAGGAAAAGAGTCTCGTTGTAGCTGTTGATGCTTCCTTTTACACACCTCTCTTGTGAGAGTATTGGTAGAGTAAGCCAACACCTTGTACAGACCTTGTAGGTTATAGAGCTCCTGTGGGTGTTGTGTTCTTCTTTAGAAAGCTAAAGGCAACCAGGAGATCCTATATCTCTTTGAAGAAATCTGTCACATAGTAATACTCCACACAAAAATGACTTTAAGATTTCTTTTTGAAAGAAATCTCAAGTGTGAACTCCCATTCTCATGCTAGTGCATGTTTAAGACCCCAGTACCATTTCTACTTGGATTACATACAGAAGAATATTTAGTAGAATTTACTATTTTGTTATATGCCACCTCATGTAAAGTATTTTAAAATTCATACCAAGAAACCTGTGGAACTGGATTTTAAGTAAATGGTATCAGGCTGTTTAGCAGAAACCAACCTGTCCTAGGAAGTGTTTTCTTCTCACTGAGCTTTTGCTGTAGAGCTTGATGAGAAAGCTAATTCCTTGTTCTGCTTGGCTAACTGGAAAAAACATCATTTCTCCCCACTTCACTTGGCCATTAGTGGACTTCAGAAGGCGAGTCTTCTTTTTATAGATGATCCCTTCTGTACTAAACATTCCAACTTTCACAAAGAAATCTAGCACAAAAGGGAAGGAAAAAGACAAAGGGTTACTCACAACACACCCAAAAAAGAACCAACAAGATCCATATGTATGCTTCAAATTGCATCTATTTCTCAAAAGTCTGGCCAAAAGAACACTACAATAGCTTTCCTGACCAGTTGCATAAACAGAATATGTTCAGTAATATTGGACTGATTAACATAGTATCCAAACAGCAAGTGCAAGCTAATGCTCTTGTATGTCAGGATTAATACTGGGATGAAAATCTTCCAAAATACATAAACACACATCTTCAAACCAAACAGAATATAATCAAGTAAGACATCTGGGGAAATGAGCCTTGGCAATGGAAATCTATGAAACAATGCGTTAGTCTGAGGTTTGTAAAGAATGTTATGAATTGCTAACCCATTTGAGCAGCAATTTACCTGTTACAAGTGCTTTCAGAGAGGAGGCATGAAACAGCTGATGTAACTTACTTGAAGTCAGTGGCCTGGATGAAACAGGAAGGTTTTGTGCTTCAAGAATCTGTAACTGTATCCTCCTGTTTATTGCTTGAAAACAAGTTCCTATTTGAAGTTCTGCACGGCACACCTACAAGCAGAAGAATGTTGCCATAACATCTGGATTAAGTTGCTTATAAACTCAGGAAACACAGGAATTTTGTCATATGTTGGGCTCCCACATTTCTATCTGGGATTTCCTGGACAGAAATATAAGCATGTGTTGTATACAGAACCTGCAGATGCACAGTAAGTGCATCTTGCACTTGTCATAGCTGCAGTACATGTGCTCCACTGATGAGCTGCTTATGTGTGGTGCACATAGGGTTCTTGTGGGCTGCAGCCAGGAATACTGGCCAAATCATCTAGTCCTCAGTTTTGACCTGGTACAGATTCTACAGTGGTAAGAGCAGACACAGGGGAAACCAGACGTACCATCACAACTTTACTAAATCTGGGTGTGGAAGTGAGAGAGCACGTAAGCTCCACTGACACAAAAACCTTCTCCCCTCCCACACTTTTGAATTTTGCAATATGGAGATATAAGCAATGGTTTCCATTGATACAAGACCCTGTCACTTAAAGTCATGAGTGCTTAGAGTGACTGCATACTGTGTAGCTTCCCGTGTTGTGAAAGTACTCGTGTTTTACATGCCCACACACATCCACCACTGCCACACACACAGTGTATGTATCAAGATCTCCAGTCTGATTCCTGGGGGTTTTTTTAGAATTTGTGCAGTGGTAAAGCTGCATTGAGTCATCCTCTTTGCTCTCCTGTCACACTCTAATGTCCTCAGAACACTGTAAGAGCAGCAGGAAAAGGCCAATGGAGACCCACCTTCCCTGACAGCCTTCATTTAAATGGACTCTGCTAGTCTTTGTTGCCCTCATGTTTTAATGCACTTCAATGAATCAAAATGCACTAAGCAAGAGAACAACAAGTTAGATAAAGGAAGTCAGGCCCGAGTTCATCAAAGAGACTCAAAGTCTCTTTGTAGCTCAGCCACAAAATTTTTGTGTAACACTGTGAGGAAGCCACTTCGTCGACTCTGAGCTGTGGCTTTCTATTGGCAGAGAGGTTAGGGTTTGCTGCCTCACAGGTACTACAGGGATGAATCCCAGTGTCTGGAGGGCTCTTGGATATCGGCATCCTCTGTCACTTCATTTTACTGCTTTTGAAGCAATATGGTTATTCACATTAGAACTAAAAAATGTAAAGTGTAACTTACATTAGAAATCAAGAGTATCATTCATATTACTCAGACACACTTAAATAAAATTTGCTTTTAAATTGCTAATTCAAGTTTAATTTGTTGAAAATACAAATGTCTAGACACAACTATAAAAGAAACAAACAAAGTGAGGGTAGGGGGAAAGGAAATCCCACTGCAAAAAACACCTGCTTCTTATTACACTAATGGAAATGAACTGTCTGAATTATTACTTCACAGCATGCAATCTGAACATGAAATATATGGCTGTCTCTGCAGTTTCAGGCCACTGAAGATCTTAGCACTTTTCTTCCATAACAAAAGCAGATTCCATTTGCTCTGAGCTCTTGCTGCGTGTCCTAAGGAACTTCTGATGCTTTTTTGGTCAGAAAAGACAATTACCCGGTGTTCTTTGCTGAACATTTCCCCAGAATGTCCCTCCCTCAAGCTGTGAGCCATAGTGTGGAAGAGCTTGCTCTAGCTCTTTTCCTAGAAACATCTGCAGTTTATGACAAGAACAGCTATGAGCAGAGTTCAAAAGTCTGCATTTTTTCCCCATCAAAATGCCTTTCTCCAAGGAAGTAGGGTAAAGGGGAAAAAAAAAAAGAACCCCTCTAGTTTTACTACTGAATTATTTCCCATTCATTTCCAGCAACCCCTTCTAGGAGTGATAAGAACATGCTTTCACAGTATTGGCACTTACAGGTGCTTTGGAAGGAGGAGATATATCCAGCCAATGATTGGACTCCTGTGAGCTCAGCTCCCGCAGTGCCAAGGAACATTCTCCAATAGTTTTTTTCCTGGGAGTCTGTGTCTGGATTTTAAATACCAATCTGACAGCCTGCAGGCTTTGCAGTTTAATGGCAAAAACAAAAGTTTCCATAAATTCAATGTCCTAGAAAGAAAAACAGATGAATATCATTATCATTTTAAGAGAACCCCACTGAGCCCAAAACCTAGAAACCAAGGCATCCTGGCTCTATAGCCACTGCTCCTGCCTACCACTTTAGGTCACCATGGAAAAGTGTGCTTTTATAGTGCAAAGTCCACACACACTCGCCACTGCGTTGTCACACCCTGGCAGGGCTGAAGTTCTGGATTATTTTTCACTACCATAACAAGTTGTGGCCATCTCTTCTGGAGCTTTACAACAGCACACACACATTGTGAAACAGATTCTATAACCTTTTGCTACAGTCTTTCCAGCTAATTTTATTTTCTTTTACCTTTGGCTGACATTATGGGAGATTTATGTTGTTTTACTTTCCATCCCCTTAATATTCCTTTACTGCCACTATCAGGAATCTTGTCTCATGTGACCAATTTTTACCATTTTCTGTAGAGACAAAGTGTGAAAATTGTTTTCTGCCAAATGAGAGGCAGTACCTCAGCTACCTTCCCTGGGATGAGTGTGCACATACAGGTATGCCCAGTCTTCCTCTGGTGCCCCACCACAGAGGTGCCATGGCCTGCAGCTCATGGTTCAGTCCCCTGTGAGCATATCTGTCCTGCCAGCTTGTGAGAGAAGCAGGGCAAGAGTACAATGCAAGGCAGGATACAGAGGGAGGAAGTGGAATAAGGCTTTTAATAGGATTTTGAGAAGTTGGGAGAAGTAAAACACGCCTGGGCAGTTACCACAGAAAATATGGCATAGGAGTGGATGTTTGGTTCATTTAAAAAATCCATTTATCTGTCACATTTATTTTTTGTGGGGAAAAATATTTCTCAGTCTTTTGCATGCCTCTACTTACATTGCAGCCCTCCTTGGCAGAAGATTTGAAATGCACTGGCTTGGGCAATGTGAGAATTCCCTTGACACAGATACGAGGATTTTCCCCACAGCTAGAAGGCCAGTTCAGGTCTTTGCACTGCAACATTGAAAAAAGTCAGTTTAGACAATGCAAGACTTACCATTTGATGTACTTAAAAGGTTTCTGTCTGCTCAAATTTCCCTTGCCTGAAAATTATTCTCAGTTCTGGAAGTATATACAACCACCGTAACAGTGTCACATTTACTGACAAAAAAGCATCAGGAAGCTACCTGTCCTCAAAGGTCTTTTTTCCTAAAAGTATTCATTGAAGTAACATAGAGACAAATCTTATGGCAATTACCACTAAGTATGGTAGAATAGTCACTGGTTATTGAATAGTCATTATTTGAATAAATAACCAACTTATTTGCTTACATGTAAAACCGTGATCCAAATCTGTTCTACAGAAGAAACATAACACAACTTCACATTCAGTCTTCCAAAGTCTTGTTCATCACCTGATAATGTAATAGTATCTATGGAAGAAAGCCAATTAATATTTTAATGCAGTATCTTAAAAGTTCACTCCAGAAATAAAGGAATTAATTAGTAGGTAGACTGCTTATCTTCACAAACTTCTCTCAAAATAAGTTTGAAATATTTTAACACCTACATTTCAAGGACAAAATATCCAACAAGTCCAGTAACCTTATGTTCTGCATGGCTAAAAGCCTTCACATTTCACGGAATAGAATAATGTAATCATAGAATATCCTATGTTGGAAGGGACCTTTAAGGATCACAGAAGTCCAACTTCTGGCCCTGCACAGGAGACCACACCAAGAATCACACCATGTGCCTGGGTATCTCTACTGAATTTAATAACTTGTGTTATACTCAAACAACTTTTAGAAAGTAAAAAAGCATGTTCCTGAAATACCCAGAACACATTTATATCCTAACACTTCCCTTAATCTCTTTCACTGTTAAGTTTATAAATTGGTCTCTTTTTTTTCAAATTTCAATTCCAGTCTAGTAAACATTTTACTATTATGCTGTCTCCAAGTCAGAAAAGCCATTTAATATCCAGCATTTCTCTGTCATGACTGGAACCAGGTCATTGCCTCAGTCTTCTTGTAGAAGGAGACTGGGTCAAACTTTGACTTATAGCAGGGTGACCTTTGTGGGGACTTGGTTAATTTTTGAGGGTTTATTTTGCCATATCTCCACTTCTTCAGCATTCTTTCTTAAATAAGGATACTGGATTTGCATGCAATATCCTTGCCTAATTACCAGTGTAATATGGGTATTGGATTCCAGGCACTTCACACAGAAAAATATTGATACATGAAAAAGGACTAGACCTGGGACCTGGTGTTGCATTCTATCCTAACAAGGTGTCCTAATTTCTTAGTTCACTTGGGTAGAAAATCCAAGTATGAACTTCTCAAAAGCATGAGAACTTCTCAAAGTCTCATTTGCTCAATCTCCAAACAGGACAGAGCAAGTCCAAAACTCTTAATTTCAAATTGCCATGTCATCTCTAGCTGACCTGCTGGTCAGATTAATCTCAAAAAAACCCCAAACCAAACAAAACCATCAATGGCAAAATAGAAACAGCTTAATATTTCAAGTGCAAAGGGAAATATTTCATTACAAGGTAAAGAAAAAAAAACATTACCCAGACTCCTGTTACTGCCCTGTGAATCCTTCCTGGAAGAGGAACTGCTAGGTACACTGGAGACTGAATCATATCTCTGGGGACAGGAAAAAAGGAATCGCTTAATTCAGAGCAACAGATGCAAAACCCAGAGATTATACCATCAGACAAGATATGATGAAAACTAAATACTCCATTTCAAATAATTGCCTCATTCCTTACTAGTTTCTTGATCCAGCAGCATGCAATTACTATTTTGATGCAACGAGCTAACAGAGGACCCATTTGACCAGCAGACATTTTTTTTTTGCTCATGAATATATACACAAGTTCATTGGTATGTCAGATTATTATAGAAGAAATAAATAAACACAGTGTTTTGTGTCAATGGAAACTTCCACTATTCAACTGATGGAAGAAACCACAAGATGATGAACCATGACATGCCGTCTGTCCTGTCCTGCCTAACAGCCTACTTGGGTTTCTCAACAGCCCCGTTGGGCTAGAACAGCAAATGTCAGAGGAGACACCAGGAAAAGGCCTCTTGAAGTTGGTCAAGATGTTGAAATTTTCCCTCCAGTCCTCCCAGTGCAATGCCCTCCAGTGTTTACTTTGGAAACAATGCAGTGGGAACAGATACACTAAGCTGGGTTTTCAGTGTGACCTTGGCTACAAGGGGAACTCACCTTCATGAATCGGTGAGGTGGGCTCCTGAGGTCAAACATCGAACGGCTTACATCAAGGGATCCAGGCAAAGCACTGGGCCTTAAATCACTAACTAATACGGCAAAAAGAACAATAAAAATCATATTAGCACCATTGCTAGGGAAATGGAAACCTAACTAATGGAAACCTAAAAAAAACTAACTATGAATAACTTTCACAAACTGCTGGAAATAGGATCTGTTCAATCCTATAGAGTACAAATGACCAAAATGGCTTAAAGATAGTATGATTTGCTGTTATCTAGTAATGTTTGCCAGGAACATGGGGATGGGACAGGGGTAAAGATTTGGTGTCTTTTTTCGAAAGATTAAATTTTTAATGAAAAAAACCTCAATTTTTAGACAGAAAGCTGTCTATAGAATATAAAAAAAGCAGAAAGATTTTAATCATAAAAATATGTTGTTTACTAATAATAAGTAGAATTTCAGAATATCATTCATGAATTTACTTTTCCGTTTGTGTGGAGTTTTTTTAAGATGAAGAGAAGGGACTTCACATTAAAATTCAAGAATTTAATTTTGTACCTTCCAAATAAACACATTCTGTAGTTCTAAACCCACACACACGAAAAATATCACAACATTTGCTGTGACAAACTAGGTTTAGAGTTTTAATAGTTTATAATGCATGAAGTTCTAAGTTCTGAAATGGCTGTCAAAAAACTCCGGAGGAACAATTGTAGAACTGTACTCTAGACACACTAGAAAAACCTTTCTTGTGTTTAAACTTTCTAAGACAAAACTAGTAAAGTGTTCACTTTGTTGAGGAAAAATGGAAAAAGAGATGATGGACTGAAGGGAAGATGTCCAAGACAGTTTAATAAAACCCATTTGGCTCCCAACACAGGTGCTTACAAAGCCTGGTAAAACCATATGCGTAAAAGGCTGCTAAAATTCTACTTGTGTTTTGTTCTCTTAAAAAATATATATGGAATAGTCTGTTCATGTACTCTCTATGGTGATTCAGAATTCTTTTAAAACAGAATACAGCCGAGACATTTTCCCCCAGCTGAAAATAAGAATGCTATACTATCCTAAATAAAACACCTTTAAAAATGCAAGCTGTTGCCAGCTTCCGATTTCATGGAGAGCGTGTGCCTTTCCTGGAGTGTTGGAGTTTTCTGAATGCATTTGCCTTAGCAATCACAAGCAACAGCCAGTCATTAACTTCAGTTTGAACAGCAGTCACTCCAGGATACATACACCAATGAACAGCACAGAAGACAACTTTTACCTAGGTAGCCAAACACTTTCTATCTAAACTTTTACTCTCTCGCAGCCCTCCCTCATTCTTACACACTGAGAAGTGGGAACATTGCTGTAGCTTCAAAAGCAAACTACAAAAAAAAGTTGGTATATAACATCATGCCCCATTTTGCACCTGTTCTTATCATCTGCTCCTGAATGCTTCTTGGTGCTTGCTCCTCTCCCCATATATGTACTCCTCAGGCATTCCTCCTACTCAACATACTGCCTGGCTTCCTTTTTCCATCTCCCTCACTCCTCTTACTGGTAGCTGAAATCTCCAGTACTGCGTGCTGGTCTGGATCAGAGGCAGCTACAGAATCTCACTTTGCTAAGTTCTCTACCTGCATGCAAGCCTTCTTAAGCCCCTAAAAGACAAAAAGTAACAGTACAGCTGAAAATGAAGCAGAGCTGGCTCTGCAGATTGATTCACCAGCCAAGGAGTGTCCGTAGCACACCAACAAGCTTGAGAACTGCGATAACCAAACAAGTCTTCTGTAGACTAATGGCTTTTATTCCTCTTGCCTATAAACCCTGAAAAAGGGAGTAAGACAGAGAAGCAAGGGTGTGGTCCTTCTTACCTGATCCATACAATTTCCTACTATTTGATTTTGCTTGGAAGCGCCTGACGAGATCTGGTGAAACATGATGCTCCAGGTAGAAGGGGTTGTACACGTCACAGCCGGGCCACTGGTACACGCCGTGCAGCTCTGCCTTCCGCTCACCAAACGAGGCTATGGCTGACTCTGTGGAGCACAAGTAAACATCAAATGCAAGAGTTCCAGACATAACACATGCTGCCTGGCTTCATAAGGCAGTCACAGTGCCTCCAGGGCAAAGGACAAAATATTTCACTATTATCTACTTTGGGTAAAGGGGAAAAAAAAGGAAAAAGAAAACACACATTCACATTATGTCAGGTGTCCACAGTGTGTGAGCAAACATTAGAATTAAATTTGCCATAAAAAACTATGCATACCCTCTCTTGGGGTTTTGTAGTAAATGCCTAAGTAGTTAAATACAGAAGGCTCCAAAGACAGACAGCAAAACAGAAGTTAACAGGAAAAGCAGCACTCTGTATACAGAAAGCCTCCAAATTATTTAGTTACCCACCCCCAGCATACTTACTGAACTAACAGACCCCCAGACCTTCAGGAAGATCTTGTATGGAAAGATAATGCAGCTTATGACTGCAGTCTCCTCATCTACTTTCCATGGCAAGTCTGTCCACGGTAAAATCACTGGTCAAAAATTACTTGAATTGTTGGCTGAGGCATTAGTAGACATATCTGAGACTGCTTGAATCCCATCCCATAATAATTTCTCAGCTTTACTCAGACCATAATAATTTCAGAAAAAACATGTATGCCTTGGTCAGCAAAACAGTGAAGAACATTGCTGTAGTGTTCTTTACTGTCTGGACTGAAAAGAAGCCATATGTAACAGCACATTAGAGAATGGGATTACCTGGATTCTGCCAAACTCTGATACTTGCTTCCTTCACTTCACCTCCCTGGACTTCAACCTATCTCTTAAAAAGGTCTTTACTCCACAATAAAATGCCTTCACTTCTGCAGATGTCTTGCACCATAAGAGGCAAACTACCACTACTCAAGAATCCTCTCCTGCCTGTGTTAGTAAAGTAAAAAACTACAACTCTGAGATGGAACACGGGCAGTGATAAAGCAAGAACTCAAGCAAAATGGGCTTGAGCATGATGTAAAATCATGCTCAAGGAAGATTTCAGTGTTCAAAGGATGAACACTAAAAGTGAGGCCACAAAGAATTGCTACACAGCAGATGATGGAAAATCCAGTGTTCCAGACCAGGAGCACTTCTTCCTGCTAGCTTACTTCTGTGAGAGCATGAGACACACTGCAGTAAGCAGGAGAAAAAGGCTGCCAGAACTTAATTGCTTTCAGAAGGGTTGCCAAGAGCTAACTCTGAGCATGTCCTGTTTCACTAAAGGAAAATGGCCAGACATGCACAGAAAATGGTGAGGAACTGAGAGCAGGACTTTGACTTCCACAGATATTTAACAACGGTCTAAGAAAAGAGTAATCTGAATACATTTTTTGAGTATGCTGGTGCTTTGGCTAATGTGAAAAAAAAAAATGACAGCACACTTCATTCTATTTAGTAAATCTCCCTAAAAAGTAAACACTGCATTTTTAAGCACAACTTTATACAGCTTAAAGCTGTACTTAAAAAAAATTAGCATTTTAGAAATTAAAGTTGCCTACTTGACATAAGAGTCACTTTTCAATATTTGTTCAAAAATTTAAAATATTTGCTTAAGAGACTCAATTATGAAGAGTCAGGTCATCCTGCCAGAAGATCTAACAGCTTGTAGCCTAAAGGACCACATCAGGTTCCTCAGAAATTATCAGGAAGCAGAATTCTCAACACAGACAAGTCACTGACTGTTTAGATTGTGTAAGAACAGCATGAACAAGGGCAACATCCATCTAAAGGCTGTTAGACACATCTTCCTTTCTCTCTGGAGAACATCCATGCCTCAGAATCCCTGATGAACTTCTCTGTACTGTATCTTGAGGATGAGATTAGACTAAGCAAGGCAGAGCCTAAACCTAGACTCAGCAAGAAAGGGGATAACCAGGAGCATGTCCTGCTTTTCCATAGCATATCCAACTATGGACTTACAAAAACTAGCTACTGAAATAGCAGGTAACTGGGGAGATCAGGCTCAGAGATGAGGGTGCCTCACAGGTTCTGCCTCCAAACTCTTCAGCTGCCTGTTAATGGCTGCTGACATGCCAAATGAAGCCCACTAGAAGATGGGGCACAGAATGGCCAGTCTGTACTGAACAGCTCTGCTAGGCTGCTTAGCTTGGCTGCGGTGCCAGTGGTACATGCAGCAGTGGGTGGGGAAGAAGTTTGGTAATAGCCCTGCAGGAGCATGAAAGAAGCAACAGCAGGGACCTAGGGAGGAGAAGAAGGAAGGGTGGGAATAAAACCCTACAAAACCAAAAAAGTTAGGTAGTACTGCATTAGTTGTTATGCAACATATGATTGATTTATTTCAGTTATTAGATTTTTCACCTTCAGAAAGGAAATAAAGTCACATGGGACTAAGAACGTACTACCAGCTTATCACGTCCTTGAGGCAAAGCAATCCTCGAGAAAACAACTGCTCAGGTATGTCTCTGTGCCAGAATTTTCCCTTACCTAATTCTATGCATCTCCTGGCAGGACTAAAAGCCTAACAATAGCATATGCTCTGTAACTCACTTTTTAACTGCCACTGTGTCTAAATTGCATGTACCTCATTTTGGCAGTTTGAGTATGGGAGTAACAGGATGAAGTACAAGGCTGCTGTGAAGCAGAAAAGAAATAGTATCATATGAAACCTCGTAACAGGGGATCTGTGTCCCCTGGCCTCCCAAAAAACAGGAAAAAGAGCAGAAAATAGCAGGGACAAAAAATTCTGCCAGACAGTAGCACCTGTCATCTATTGGCAAAATTTGAAAAGGAAGATGTGTTAGTATGTTACAACATACCAGAATATTAACCATGAAAGAACACCCTCCTTCTTTTACTTGAGAGATATGGATACTGGGGATATGTTAGGTCTTTCCTTGTCTCCAATAAATCTAATAAATTCTCTCTAAAGATTCCATTTCTTCTAAGCATCTTCCATTACTTTTGAGTATGAGCACTGATGTGCAATTGTCCCACTCAGTTTTATTCATACAACATCACAGAGATTCATAGTTAGATGACATACTTCCCAAAACCTCTCTGAGTGTCCAGAGAGAAAAGAAACAAGCTCCCCATTCTCCCCGGGGACGTGATCACAGCAGCAGCCTGATAGAGTTCAAGAGGTGTTTGGACAATGCTCTCAGGCACATGTTGTGACTCATGGGGTGTCCTGATAATCCTTGTGTGTCCCTTCCAATTCAGCATAATCTATGATTCTTTGAAACAAGACCAGGCTTCTGGCAAAGTTCTGCAAACATGTTTTCAGTAGGAATACTTAACAAGGTTCAAGGTGCAGCAGAAGCTACACAACAATTTCTGCAATAGTGTCTGTATTTTACCTTTAATCCCTCCAGCATGTGAGATACTGGGACGGTTCTTTGGCTGTACATAAGCCAGTTTGAATGGAGGGACCACAAATGGTACCTCCTGACCATCCAGGGGCAGTTTAGAAAGCAAATAATCCTCAGAACAGCCAACTTGACGCTTCACTGACACAGAAGACAATGGAGGCTGCTCTACAATAGTTGGCTTGCTTGCAGCTACTGCTTCACATTCCTGCACCATGGAAACTGCTAAAAATAAAGAGCAAGACAGACAGTACACATGTGCATTAATTTTGAACAATTCTACAAACAGATCTCTTTTATTTAATAGTATCTCTGCTTGATACATTACTTAACAGCTGCTAGTAGCATTCAGGACTAGGACCAGGAAAAGATATTCATCTTCCTGACACCTGTACTGATCCAAACTCTTTGTTGCCCAAGCTTCTATATTTATAGCTACCTTCTTAAGTGAATTTGCACAAGAGCTACACTTTTATCATAGATGAGTTCTTCAAACAAATAAGATGCCAAAGAAAATCCTAACAAAGTTTAAAATACACACAGAGTTAAAAAAAAAAAAAAAAAGCATTCAAATTCTGAGAGTTTGAAGATACAAGACTTTTACACAACCTTGGGTAAAAAAGCTGGCTTTTTTGGACTGTATTCTAGACTGCAAAGAGCAGACTTCAGACAACTGTTATTTCTCAGTTCCAATTCATAATACTAACAAGCACAGGTTCAATCTCCATGGTATGAAGTGGAGGTATGAAAAGGATTTTTGATGTTGTAAGAGAAATCAAGTTTATCAGGAGTAACACAGTCATTCTATTAATGGGAAATCTCATCAGTAATGCAGCAAAACTTTTATTAAACCCTCATTGTGTCAGAACTCACGATCATTTTTTTCCTTGTCCATGCAGAAACACAATTTACAGCAGGTTTTTATACATTCTGTTGCCATTGTTTTCAGTATTATAATTTAGAGGGGACCTCAATCAGCGATCCAGTGCAGCTATCAGACCTGAAAAACACAATAAAACAAACCATAGTAGATGGGAGTAAGTAAAATCAGAATGCAGTATTATCAGCTATTTAATATGCAGTTGCTTTTTGTACACAGTCCCAGGATCAATCAGAAAGTTACTTCAGTCATAAAAGGATCAGAGCCATCAGATTTCTCTCACTGAGAAAAATCACTTTTATAAAAAAGCACAAGGCAAGAGATAGTTTTAACATATGGCATTCAAATACTTTCAGTGATCCACTCAGACAGGTCCCTATCTTTTGGGAACACTAAAATTCTCCTCGTATTTGTGTGTGCCACTGGGCTTTGGAGTTTACTCAGCTTTACAACTATTTTGACATGGTATTGTCAAGACATTTGCAAGATGTGTTTTTAATTCTGTTTCTCTTGTTCATGTTTCTCCTATCCTCTTTCACTCCCCTACTATTTTCATATATATCTATACATGTTTACATTTTCACTCTACATACTCCATACTTTTAACTTGAAAACAGGCTTGATGCCAAAATTGGCTTCTTTGAGAAGCTACTGCTTTCTCATAATTGTATACACATGAAACTGAAGACCTGGTTTATTATATAATTGTTTGCTGTCCACACAGAAATAAAGCACGCTGACTTTCAGCAAAATAAGAGGCATGTAATCTACAAAAGAATGAGATCAAGTCTCTAACAGCTGGTTAACATTACAAGAACTTTATGACAATGCTAACTGGCCTCATTTAAATGTCTTTATTCATATCCTTATGTTCTCTTTTCAGAGAGACACAGACAGCTGCGCTGCCTCCTGTCCAAAACTTCAGCTAAGTCAAGTCCTTTTACATCCACCTAAGTACACAAAGTATGTTCTAAAGTATGTTCTTAGAAGAACATACCCAAGACGCAATTCTAACTCAATGAAGATTAGAAGACACCAAACAGAACATGAACATAGGCTGAAGGGATGAGGAAGACAACAAGTAAGACAGAGGGAGAAAGCATGGAGAAAATATCCAGTTTTTCCAAAAAATGAAAAATGGACATGTTTGCTTAGTTACTTCAATTGCAAGAAATTTCCGAAAGCATCTGTGCTCCAACACAGAAACCATTCATTCCCACTGTAGCTTGAACAGTGCCATAATTTTCTTTGTATAGTCAAAGACAGCTGGAGAATCACACAATGTCTATGGAAATAACTGTAATAACCCCCAAATTTTTCTTGCATTAAAAGCCCCTCAAATTCTGTAGATTTTAGGTGGAGATACTAAGCTATGGACACTTCCTCTAACAAAACCACAATCACTTTACACAGTCTCAGTACTTGCCTTCATCTTAAGATTGCCTGTGAGTGTGAATACAGCAAGAGATCTGCATCAAAATCTTCAGAGGCAATGCCACCAGCTCCAGAACCTGCTCTGCATCTTTACAGAAGCATGAAAGGAGACATGAGAATTTCTCATCAAATTCTCCATGGTTCTAATGATCAGATTTTCACTGTTGCTCCTCCCTTGGAGGCACACTCATGATAGCCAAGGCTGCTAATTTAGTCTGGGTTCCCTTGCAGTGATTTTCCTTCCCAGCTGTTATCAGTACACAGCTGGAGTTAATATGCTTCACTCTTGTTCACCATGTTTAAACTGGACTAAAACAGCTGCTCTGTTTGCTCTAAGCTTTGCAACAATGGTATCGAAGCCTCAGTGGCAGTTTGCACAGGCAAAAGAGACTTTTATCTCAAAATGTCCAGATAGAATTTATTTGCTACTGCTGGTGAAGAAGCCAAAATATTAGTACTGCCCTTTCTAGCTACATAAAATAGAAAAATTCATCTTTCTTCATCAGAGAAAATTGCAGTTCATGGTAGGGAATTTTTTAGCTGGAACAATTAATTCAGCAAATAAACAAATGAAAATCATCTGTCTCAAGCAGCTGCCTTTCCTTCACAGGGGTGAGTGCCTTATATAGAAAGAAAGGGCTTCCTATGGGTATTGAGGATGTAAAAGTTATAATGCAGTTCTACAACTCTTATTCTATCATTTAAAAAGACCATGTTTTTCACAGTAATGCCAAGTCAGCTGTGATAGTCTTTAACCATTACATTTTCCCCCCATTTATCAATATGCAAATATTCATACATTTTTCTTCTATCTAAAGACAAATATAAAGCAATTCATTACTGCCTACTGTAAAGAAGAGTTAGGATTACAGATTGCTCTTTAGCAACAGGCAAGGCAATATCAATGCCCAAGTATATAGACACACATCTTAGAGCCTCCATTTCAGTTTTAGCTTAATTATAGGAGTTTGAGAAGAAAGTTCCATGACTAAGAGACTAGAACACTGTTTACACTTCTTTAAGCTTACAAATGTAATGGGTTCAGTGACAAACCTTGCACTTGGGTCCCTAGACTTACACCACAGCCATGTTACAAAAAAAAAGACTGCATTTGCTGAGGGAAAGGCTATTTAGACGCAGCACTCCTTCATTCTGCTCAGAGTGCTTTATGGAATCAATAACATGGAGGGTCTCAGTTACTTTTAAAAGTTTTAATTCACTTAATTAAACTACCGTGATAAATATTGTTGTGGGGATTTTTTTTTTGTTTTGGTTTGGTTTTTTTGTTTGAGCAATCCTGGCAGTAAATTAGATGGCTTGGCTCCCACTTAATATATTTTCTTGTATCTATATTTTCCAAGCTGCCTACAGTTATTTATACAATTTTCAGTGCATGCAAAAGTTTTCTCTTAACCATGTGGGAGAGAAAGAAATTTAGCAGGTTCCGTTGTATATTTTATTAACTGAAAATAAACAAAAGCATTGTAGAAGATTAAGCAACTATTTCATGATCTTGACAGAAGTTGACATTTCTATCAAAGGTTAAACTTATCCCACAAGCCGGATCCTTTTGCTGGTGCTGGCTACCCAAAAATCCTCAGTTACAATTTAACAGTTGTTAAAAGGTTGTACTAACATGAATTTATCAGGGAACTTATTTATGAAATAAACCAAAACTGTAGAGACATTTGTTAGGTGCACCACCAAATCCCAAAGAAGTACTGACTTCTCAGCAATGTCATCCATTTTAACAAGAAGTTAAGACTCCTTGACACTATCTCTAATTTTTGAAGTCAGTTTGTGTTAGGCAATATGCACGTAACAAGGACATCTTCAATTTTTGAGATTCTAGACTGACAAAAGGATGGGGAAAAAGAGAATTTGCCTTCATTTTCTGACAAATGAACAGAGAGAAATCAGTTTGCAGAGGAGGGAACTGAACCCAGTTTGTCACTTGTGTGTCAAATTCTCTCTTTCTTGATGTTTTTCACCAAATTCAGTAAGCCATTTCATTTCTCTCTTCCCAGTATCAAGCCAAAGTAAGATAAGCAAATGTAACTCAGCAAGAGTACTTCCACACTAAGGCAAAATGAGAGCCAACTTTATTAGAACATCCTGGAAACAGCAGTTTAAAACCTAACCACACACATACACTGAGCCTAGAGAATTATAATAACTATTATTTTAATGGGTTTAGATGGAAAACATAAATTATCTTAATGATTTCCAGATTCCTCTGATAGAAATTTTGACTGAGCTAAAATCAGATAAACAGAGTATCAAAAACTTTAGTTCCAAATGCCTCCAGAACGATTACAAGACAGAGATGTTTGGAGAAGAAAGTAAATATTTTCAACAACTCATTAAATAAAAAGAACATGATAGAAAACAGGTGATCGCAATATTAAATATTAAAAGCTGAAAGCAGTCTGAAAAGAAATGTCAGGTCTTTACTGCCTTATGAGGAAAGCGTATTTTGCAACAAGAATGCAGGTTGCCAATGAATTTTACTGCATTTAGTCACAGCTCTGCTCCATAGGAGTGGAACAGGTAACACATTTATAACTACACAACAGAAACAAAGATGAAATAGCTGTTCTCAAACAGGGAAAGCTGGCTAAGCCAGTGGTTGCAAACATTTTGAGATTTATTGCCAGTCATAAACGTAGACAATGCATTCTCAGATCTGCATTTTAGAAACATAGCACAGCAATATTCTAGTAGCAGTAAGTTCTCACACAGCAGGATGTGTAAAATAAAATACCCAGAAATAGGGATTATCAGTTGTTATAAAGCATTTGGGACAGATCTTTGAATGACATAAGCGTCTACAACTCCAGGAGCCTCAGAGGAGCCAGGGCAGTTTGCAACACATGAGGATCTGCCCTCTGGAGAAAGCTCAAGCTTGCTAGTTCACACCTCAGCCAAACACCTTGTTTTTGATACTTCTGCCACCTGTTTATGCTGCCCTATGACTTTCTGCCTTTCAGATCCAGAAGATGCAGTCAGACCCAGTCACTGAAATCCTTCAGAAAGCACAGCACCAGCTCAGGTCTCCAGATGTTTCACAGAAGCACAGCACAGCAAAAGCTGCTTCTGATGCAGGTCAGATGGATTATCATTTGATGGTGCAGATGCTGCTCAAGGCTTAACTTCTACAGCCAGCTGTTTTGTGGTTTTGCTTCTGGGGGGGAGTGTCTGAGAGCTGTGCACCCCTCTCAGCACAGCTCTCCAGCTGAAGAGAGGTGCCTGATGGCCACCACTTCTCAAAACTGGCCAACCCTAGTAAAACAGTCTAAATGGTTTGAGACATTTGCCTCCAGGTACTTTACTACTACAGCAGCAAGGACAACATATGTACCCTGCCCATAAAGCCCATAGTTAAAAAAAACAAAAAACAAAAAAACAAAAAAAAAAACCCACAACACTTTTTTTGGGGACGGTAGGCAGGTCTGACTTGTACTGCCCACACAGGAGAGACAGGTACTTCAAGTGGGTCTGAGCATGTGAAAAGACAGGACACAGCTTTCATTCCTATTGATTATAAACTTCAGCAGTAGCAGGATGTCTGCAGGAATTACAAAAAAAGGAAACAAAAAATGTCATGCCAACATACACCTACCAGGTGCATGATAAGAAGCTCCTTTCTATATCTGTTTCTGGAAGAAGCCCACAGCAGTGACACA